GTTGGAAGCAACCTAGGTGCCCATCAGTAAATGAATGGATCCAAAAATTGTGGTACATATACACAATGGAATTCTATGCTGCAGAGAGAAAGAAGGAGCTACTACCCTTTGCAACAACATGGATGGAACTGGAAAGCATTATGCTGAGTGAAATAGGCCAGGTGCTGAAAGACAAATACCATATGATCTCACCTTTAACAGGAAGCTAAACAACAAAACAAACAAGTAAGCAGAAAAAAAAAAACCCAAAAAACAAAGACACTGAAATAGAGAACAAGGGGATAGTGACCAGAGGGGAGAAGGAAGGGAAGTTAAGGGGAAAAAGGGGGAGGGATTTGGAGGAACAAATAGGAAGGACACAGGGACGAGAACTAAGGGGGGGGAGGAAATGGGAGGGAGGGGGGGAGAAAGGGGCAGGGGAGGCTGGGATGGGAAAAATAGACAAAAAACTGTACTTGAAAAATAACTAAATAAAATTAAAAAAAAAAAAGAAAAATAACTAAATAAAATTAAAATTAAAAAAAAAAAAAGGAGAGAGTTACCTGCAAAGGAGTTCCCATCAGACTGTCAGCAGATTTCTCAAAAGAGACCTTGCAGAAAGAAGGGGCTGGAAAGAAGTATTTAATCCAAAGACCTACATCCAAGATTGATCTATCCAGCAAAGCTTTCATTTAGAATGGAAGGGCAGATAAAGTGCTTCTCAGATAAGGCCAAGTTCAAGGAGTTCATCATCACCAAGCCCTTATTATATGAAATGTTAAAGGGGTTTATCTAAGAAAAAGAAGATTTAAAAAATGAACAGTAAAATGACAGCAAATCCACAATTATTAACTACTACACCTAAAACAAAAACAAGAGCAAACAGCTAGAAGATGAACAGAGCCACAGAAATGGAGATCACATGGAAGGTTAGCAACAGGAGAGTGGGAGAGGGAGACAGGGGGAAAAGGTACAGAGAATAAGTAGCATAGATGGTAGGTAGAAAATAGACAGGGGGAGGGTAAGAACAGTATAGGAAATGTAGAAGCCAAAGAACTTATACGTACCACCCATGAACATGAACTAAAGGGGGAAATGTGGATGGGAGGAGGTGTGCAGGACAGAGCGGAGTTGTAGCATAATTAATAAAATATATTTAAAAAGAATCTCAACAGTTGTTTTCATAATGATGACTCTCTCGACTTTAAAAAACACATTGTAAACTTACAAATTTTAGTGAAAAATCAGTAAAGGCTTGAAATATGATAGTAATTATTACTGAGGCCTGTCTTGACTCGCTGCCTCCAAATCTGATAATTTTCTTAGTTCTTCTTATTGGTTTCAATCCAGTTCTCATTAAGAAGGAAAAGTATGATGTTCCTGGCACTAGGAAAGAGGCTACTCAACAGAGATGGGGCAGAACTTTGTATAACCATCCCCAGGAACCACAGACCACATACTTGGTGATCTTTCTGAAGCTATTTTAGAAAGGCCCTTTTATGCCAAAATACAACAATTTCTTCAATAAATACTTATTACATGTTCATTTACTTATTTTTAAACAAATACTTAAAGAGAACCTACTGCTTTCCAAAGTGTCTTACTCCACAAAGAATCTAATGCATCTTTTTGTAAGGAGAAAAGAGACAATAAATAAATAGGCAAACGGTGAAAAGGGGAGGGATTTAGGATAAGGAGGAGAATATTGAGAAAGAGTGACTTGAGGATGAAAAGGGGACCCTTTTATGTGTCAGGCACTCAGTTATATGCTTGAATTCATACACAAAAGCAAAAGATTTTCTTTCAGGGAGTTTACAGACTATTGGGGATAAGAACCACAATTATAAGTCAATCTTTTTTTATCCAGAGTAGAAGAGACTGACAAATGCAAGAAGACCACCGTGCCACACATGCCCATGTCCTCCTCAATATAACTCTTGGTAAGTTCTTCTGTGTGTTTTCCAAGAAGAATTTACTTATTTTTTCTTTCCCATGACCAAATAGTTATTAGGAAGCCTAGCTCCAAAATGTCTTCATTGACGGCTCCCTCCCACAAGTCTATATGAGGCCACAAACCTTCGGCAAATCCATGTGTTTATACTTAAGTGACTCCTGCTGGCTTGTTCTATCCTGGGTCTTCTTGTTTCTGAGTAGGTGCCACACACCTGGTCTCTCTTCTCCTACTTAACATGGAATAACTAACTTCCTACGTGACTGGGAAGATGACTCTTCACTCTGGATGTTATCATGTAGGAACACCCTTGGCTCCACTATGTTTCCCAACATCTGCTTCCAGAATCCCAGCAAAGATTTAACATCTCAACCTCTGCTTACCCAGGGGAAAAAAATAAGGCAAGAAATGATTTTCCATTGATTCTGATGTCATAAGAGACTCAAATTCCACTTGAAGCAAAAAGGGGAAAGTGAGGAGCTTGTTCTGTTTCTGTTAGATTGTAATCAGTGTGTAAATAGCACAATAAAACATATAGATCTAAATTGGTTCAGTTTGATGTATTTGAACAATCATATCCAATAATTAAATGTTTTCATCACCCCAGATATTTCTCTTGCTTGTGTCCCTTTCTAATCAAGTTCTCTTCCTGCCCAATCAACCACTGTCCTGGCTTCTATCACTTATATTTTCTTCCTAACTGTGACCAGATATATAAATGATAGATAGATAGGTAGATAGATAGATGCATGGATAGATAATAGGTATTAAAAACTTGTTTTTCCTTTCTTCTTCATTGTCAAGTTATTTTAAATAATAGTCATGAGTAATTATATAGTTCGTCCATAGGTTAACTGTTTGCTGTTAAGAAGAGGTGAGAAATAACTGCACCATATTATGAGGCACATGTAAACATTAGAAGAAGCAATATACTGACTTGGGCTGTGTCTCTGCCTATACAGCCTCCCTTGCTCCTGTCCATTTTAGGGTGTTTTTACAGCCTTCCCAATGTATCTGTGAACCATTGAATACCATTTCAATATGTTTGTTTTCAATATTAAAAGGTCAGAGTTCATTTCTTTGGTTTGCAACTAAGAGTACTGAGTGCTGAGTCAAGGGGGTCTCTAGATTCCCTTCCACTGCTGACATTCATTCAAGTGGTACAGAGGCTATATAGCCCACCCTTTCCACTAGAGATGGCATATCTTGGGAGTCATTACCCCTAGTGCAAGAATTAACTCAATTCTTGTGGTATTTACTAAGTGCTCCCCCTCTACTAGTTGCTACAGGGAAACAGAGAAGTAATTCTCAAAATGCCTCCCATTACTGGGAACATAAGACACACAACAAGCTACTCATTTGCCATGAAGAGCAGTAACCAGTTAAGTAACAAAAAAATCACAAGTAGGAAGAGTCACCAGAAAATGAACAAACAAAAAAAATAAGCAGAGTTGCCCATCTATTCTCCATTTACCTCACTGAGACTGGCATGTGAAAACTGTTTGTCTTGAAAAACCACCTCAGGGATACAATCCCAAAGGATTTAGAAGGCGTTCATGTTCCCTGTGGGCCCATCACCATGACTGTTGACTCTGATTGTTGGGGAAAGAGTCCTGTTCTGAGAAACATATAAGAGCTGCTCTCAGTCTCCCTGCTGCTACTCTGTCAACAAAGTATGCTATTGGGTCTTGATTCCAGTAACTTCCTGAGATCCTACCATTTTTCAAAGGTGAGCTTTTTTTTTTCCTCTTCAGTGCTGCTCTTAACCAGTGAGACAGGTGTGTCAGGGACTCGGCACAATTTGCACAGCACTGATGGTGGGTGGGAGAGGCAGGACAGGAAAGTGAGATTAGAGATTGTCCCTCAAAAATGCATAGTTCCACTTTCTTTTTAAAAAGATTTTATTTCATTTTTAGACAGAGGGGAAGGAAGGGAGAAAAAAGAGGGAGAGAAGCATCAATGTGTGGTTACCTCTCACACACCCCTACTGGGGACCTGGCTTGCAACCCAGGCATGTGCCCTGACTAGGAACCCAACCTGGGACCCTTTGGTTTACAGGCTGGTGCTCAATCCACCGAGCCACACCAGCCAGGACCATACTTCCACATTGTGATCAAGCTCAAACCATCCAAGGCTTAGTGAATTTTTCCCTCATCATTTTATATTTATTCTTTAATAAGAGAGCCACCTCATCACCTTTCACTGCTACAGTCTCTTCTACACTAGCAAGCTGCTTTTTGGTTGGAGCCCAAAGGGATGACTTGAATCCAACAACCTTCTGCAGTGCATGCTTAGCCTAGAGGAAACTAACATACTGATGATATGCCACAAACAAGAAAGTATTTCCCTACCACATTTTTCTTTATCCCTGCCATACTGGGCTGATCTTGTGAGCCTTCACATTTAGAGGTGGAGGCAAACACAAGTCTTTATGTTTTTATGTGTCCTCTAAGCTGTCCTTGTTCACTTAACTTCTAGCCATGAGTACAGTAGAACTTTAGTCTCCCCTTCCTATACACATCCTCCAAAAGCAGTTCTTCTGGAGTCCCCCTAGGCTGAGTGGAACAAAGCACCCACACAACAGTATATTCCCATAAGCATTCTTAACCCTAGATTGTTTCCTCTTCTCCAAATTCTTCACTTTAATGTCTCTTTAAAATTCTATCTTCTTAGATTTAAAGGATAAAGATGGATGGTGGGAAAGATCTTAGCACTAGATTGTTCATTTTTAAGTAACTCCTTTAGAGAAGGGTATCTAACATCTTTAGAATATGAAGCACACCTAGCATATTATCCTCAATTTGGGGCATTAACTACATTTGGAGCCAACTGGAAAAATCACATTCAGAGTTATATTAGAGTTTAAAACATGTTCATTGAAAAGTATGTCATGTCTCTGTATTTTCTTTCTAAGGCATTTTCTGGAGCTCTGCATGGCTAACATAGTTCCTTATTAAATAATCTTTCTCCACACTTCATTGCCCTTCAGCCTAGAGGGAGTGCCCACCTTCCTGCAGAGGCTGCAGCTGAATGGTACCATATTGGTGTTCCTTGTAGGGATAAGGAGACCTTGCGTTCCTTTCTTCAAATCAGCAGAAATATGCATCAGGGAAACCAAACCACCATCTCTGAATTCCTCCTCCTGGGACTCTCCAACCATGCTGAGGAGCAGAATCTTCTCTTTGTGCTTTTTCTGGGTATGTACTTGGTAACTGTTGTTGGGAATGGCCTCATCACCCTGGCCATCGGCTTGGATATTTACCTTCATACTCCAATGTATCTCTTCCTTGCTAATCTATCCTTTGCTGATATTTCTTCCATTTCTACTTCTGTCCCCAAAATGCTGATGAATATTCAGACCAAGAGTCAATCCATCTCTTATGAGAGCTGCATTACACAGATGTACTTTTCTATTGTATTTGTTGTCATCGACAATTTCCTCTTGGGGGTCATGGCTTATGATAGGTTTGTGGCTATCTGCCACCCTCTGAACTATACAACCATCATGCAACCTAGGCTCTGCATTTTGCTGACAGTCATTCCGTGGGTCCTCAGTAATATTGTTGCCCTGACACACACTCTTCTGCTCCTTCAGTTGTACTTCTGTGACAAGAACACTGTTTCACACTTCTTCTGTGACTTGGCTTCTCTGTTGAAACTATCCTGCTCAGACACAACAGTCAATGAGCTTGTGTTGTTTATCGTGGGCTTATCAGTCATCATCTTCCCTTTTGCCCTCATCCTCTTCTCCTACATCTGTATTGTCAAGGCTGTCCTGAGAATCTCATCCACAGAGGGAAAGTGGAAAGCTTTCTCCACCTGTGCCTCTCACCTAACAGTTGTATTGCTCTTCTATGGGACCATTGTAGGGGTTTATTTTTTCCCCTCATCCATTCATTCTGATGACAGAGATAAAATTGGTGCAGTACTATTCACCGTTGTGACACCCATGATGAACCCCTTCATCTATAGCTTGAGGAACAAAGACATAAAAGTTGCCCTGAGAAAGCTCATCAATAAGAAAAGCTCCTGCCTTTGATGCCTTGGACATCTGAATTACTTTTATCTTCATAACCAGGTGGATGATTTTGTCCAAAGGTTGTGGCATAATTGTGATGGCTCAGCTTTTAATAACATTTCAGATATCTGCCTCCTATTTCAACCTCTAAAGAGTTGGGCCTTTTCCATATAGCTCTGCTTTTGGAAACAAATCCATTACTTTCCATAAGTTACAACCATAAAACACATCTTGATTATATTGTGTGTTATTAAAAACTTTTGTGCAAAAAAAAACTTTTATGCAAATTGTTTATTAACTTAGATGAGAACAAGTATGTATCATACTTATAGTCTAGCTTTTGTCACTGTGAAAACGGTTATTAGTAATTCCTTTATTGAATCTAGATTTCTCTAGATCAGTCTTTCTCAAAGTAAGTTTTGCTAAGGTACTATTCAGTGAAATGTTTAATAGTTATAAAAATGAAAGATCACATGTTCCAACAGTTTGGGGCAACTCTGAGTTATATTTTAAAAATATTTTAATTAGGACACTTCTGAGAGCCTTTAGTATAGTATAAATCGCCAGGAAGATAATACAGTATGTAGCACTTCTCATAACTACACTTATTCAATCATGCAGGGCCTGATTCGTCACAGATTAGTTCAAAGGTCTAGCGTTGTGCAAAACATACTTTGGGAAATGTATTTTATGGAAAATCGCAGGTTGTATATATAGAAGCTGTCAATTCCTGTCCTGACTCTGTGCCCAAGTAGACTTCAAGCATGTCAGCTCGCTTTATTGAGCCTATTTTCTCATCTATAAAGTGAGGTCATTTGGTCCCAGTTGTTTTCATTAGAATTACCTGGGGAACCTTTTTCAAAATTCACAACTTCTGAACTGCAGTGCCTTTCTCTGCTCAACCAGCTGCAGCAGTCTTGGGTTCAGCTTGGCAATTAAATTCACAAGATACACCAAGAATCAAGTATTAAGAAAGCTTTAGCAGAGGATACAGGACAGCCACACCACACACACAGCATGGCAGAGGTCTCACGACTCCCAGGCATGTGTTATAGATATCTTACTCATTCCGCATCTGGGATGTGCATGGTCACAAGAGAAAGTGCTGAGTGGGTGTGGACCACTTTGGTTCAAATAAACTTCAAACCTGGGGTTACTTCAGCATTTTGCCTTGCTTATCACATAGCTCCCCCAGGGATACGTGACCAGCACTCATTTTCTGGTTCAACTACTTCTCAGCAAATAGTTACTCATCAATTACAGATTCCTCCATAACCAATTTTAACAAACAGATCCAAGTCATGCCAAGCCATTTCAGCAGGACTGTCTCTTTTAAGGATTGAGTCTACACCTACACAATTCTTGAATTAGATGCAAGGGGGATTTGATTGAGAGTCAAATGTCAAACTGCCTGAGGCTGAGAGATGGCTACAAACTAGCTTTCACTGCTTTCCTTCCAAACTCCACCCTGGATCTACTAACCCAGACTCTAATGAAGGAATTTAAGCATTTGTATTCTGGAAACACCTCTCAGGTGGTTCTGATGGTAAGAAGCACTGAATCTCTTGAGCTCTGAGTTCCACTCCAGCTTTGGAATTTTGTAAGTCTAGATGCCAATTGGTTGATGAAGATTATCTTTCAGAACTCAAAAAATATTCTGTAGCTACTCAGAAAAGGGTGTTCTTTCTCCCTGTCCTAGACTTCTTTTTAAATATTTCCACCTCTGGAGCAAATTTTTACTATTTCTTAAATCTCATTCTTCTAACCATTGCTCTGTAGTATAAAGAAAAGATCTGGTTCTAAATTCTGACGTTTCAGCAAGTTGTGATCCACTTACATGATCTAAGGAAAAGTATTTAATTTAATTTAAGCATTGAAACTCATCTTCTTGATCTGTAAATTATGAATAATGATTTCAACATCTCAAAGCTGTTTGTTGCTAAATGGACATGGATATTAGACAACTACCATACTGTCTAGTATATCTTAGACAGACACTCAAAAAACAAAAACAAAAATTTTCCCTTTTTTTAACTGCCCTATGGCTTTCATTTCTAATCTACCTGCCCTTCCAAATAGGTTTATCTGTCTCCAGTCTAAGTTGATTCCTATTTTTCTCTAAACTTATAAAAATCCAACCTCTTTAAGAGAAAATATATAAACTATATAATCAGCCCCCTGCCTCTCTCTATGACATCTTTTAAGCTTTTATGTTTCATGTGTGTTTTCACTACAAATGTAAAACCACCTGCTTTTCTGTGGGCTACCACCTGGCCTCTTAACTGTCCTTCCTGCCTACCACAACTGCCTCAAAATCTATCCTATTCTAGGCACAGCTCTAACATGAAACATCGTAGTACTCTGCTTTCCCACTCCACATGGAAGAGTAGGGAGTCCTGGATCTGTAATCAAGAGATCCAACTCTGCTGCTGACTCACTGTGTGATAAGCCATGTTACTAACCTCAGTTTCTTTTTCTGTAATGTGACAATCTGTCTAATATAAACAAAGAATGTTCTATAACAGCAGATACCATGAAAACCCATTTACATAAAACAGAATATGCAGAAATTGAGGCCAAGGAGGAAAGTCAACAAAATATTAACAGTGGTTGTGGCAGATTATATTGTCCAAAAATGGTCACAACAACAGTTTCCAACCCACGTACTCTTAAAGAATTTGATCATTTCCCCATCATACAATAAAGTCTCTGTCCCTTATCTTGAACCTGGAAGGTTTGGGTGACTCCTTTGACAAAGTACCCCAGAAGTGGTGCTGCATGATTCTGGTTTCATCTAGCCCATATTTGGTATAATAAAACCCATCAGGGTTAGACAAAAATCATTGGTTTAATAGGTTGCCATCCCTGTGGGCCTCTCCTGACCCTCTATACCTCTAACTTGTAGGTTCCAAGAAGGCTATATCCATTCTAAGGTACAGTTCCATCTGCAGTGAGTAATAGGCAGGTTGATTTGGCTATGAACAGAGAGGTATGCAAGTGGGAAGTTTGCCTGACAAAGTGAATTAGGATTCAGTGTGGGACACAAAAGACAACTGATTTTAAAAATACAGAATCACAAAATTATGAAAACTTTGGTAAGTTTTCACAGAGAAGTATACATTTGTACCTAGATGCTTATATTTCCCTGAAACCTTCTCCTATTTGTCATTTTCAACAAACATCAATTGTAAACCTTCGCTTTACCAGGCCCTGAGTTTGGCCCTGGCACTAAAGTGGTGCATAGTTCATGGTCCATGCCCTTAACATGCTTACAAACTAAAGAGAGAAACTGACAAAAACATAATTTAAGTGATTTTTTAAGACTGGGTAAGCAAAGACAATATTTAACGTCATTAGATTTAGAAACCATAGAGATTTTGTGCAAAGCACAGTCAACTAACTTTTATGCTACCCTTGTTCTTTTGTGTTAACCATACGTGAGAAAAGCCAACTTGTGGTTTTGTGAGTAAATGAATAGAAAACCCTGTTATCTTAGTGTAAGTAATACAAATGTAAAAGAAATGCCTAGAAAAAAAGACCAAAAAAAATCCATGCATTGGGTAGAATTTACTTGTTAAGCCTAATGTATAGTGTCAGCAAAATATTCATTTATTTATTCACTAAACAAATATTTTTTGAGTACCTAGTGAGAGTTGCAGTGAAACAAGACACCCCCATGGTTTTCTTGGTTTTTATATCATAATGCATAAACAATGAATATGTCAATAAATAAATAAACAATGGCCATAAATATGAAGTAGCAAGAAGGCTAAGATATTAAAAAGTCAAGTAGGGTCAGAAGATAGATGATAACATAGGGTGGAACAGCTATTTTTGATAGTGAGATTTAGGAGTTAGGGAAGGCCTCTCAATTATTTGATTGAGAACTAACTAAAATAAGGAAATGAGCTGTGAGAAGATCTGAGGAAACACATTCCAAGAAGAGGGAAGAGCAGGAATAAAAATCCTGATGTGGGAACAGGTTGGATTGGACTAGAAGGGAAGAGAGGAGAAGATAATCATGAAGATAGTTAGGGACCCACACTGGCTCAATTGATCATAGGCCATGGCAAGTTAGTTTTAGTTAAATGTTTTAAGTAAATGTTGAAACCTACGGGACTGGATAAAATTAACCTAGGGGATGATAACATAGGGAAACACCTATGACTAAGCCCTAGGTAACTCTATTTAAAAATAAGGGCCCAGCAAAGAAGTCTGAGAAGCAGTGATGAGGGAGGTAGGGAAGCAGAGTAAACTAGTGTCAGGAAGATGGAGGAAGAAAGGGAAGTGTTCCAAGAAAAAGGAAGGGGTCAGCTCTTTCAAATACCACAGAAACCAAACCATCACTCCTGATATCAGACTTTAAAATTTGCCCTCTCCAACCCTGGCAGCTCCTGCCCCTGATGACCTTTTTGCCAGTCCTGCATCCTCATCGTTGAATTCTAAGTGAAACATGTTTCTTAGAAGATTAAAATATCTCAAATTTCTTCTTTGTCTTCATCTTCCTTTCACTACCTCTCTCTCTATTCTCCTTGTAATAGAGAAATTTAGAGGACTCTAAACTATAAACCCCTTTTAAACTGGCATATGGAATTAGGTAATACCCTCTGTGACCTTCTTAACCAACCAAGAATTCTCGGGAACATCTTCTATTTTCTTTGATAATAATAATAAAAAAATGCTACACTGTGACCAATCAATGTAATTCACCATATTCGCAAAGAAAGAAGAAAGCTTTATGATCATCCTAGTGGGTGCAGGTAAATCTTTTGACAAAAACTAAAATCCATTTCTGATTTAAAAAAAAAAACTCTTCAACAAACTAGATGTTAAAAAGAACTCCCTTAAATTACTAGAATAAGTGAATTTATGAAGATCAATATTTTAAAAAGTAACTGCATGTCTACACACAAGCAAGGAACAATTGAAAATGAAAATTCAAAACTGATACCATTATGATAGCATCAAAAATAATGGAATACAATCTAGCAATTCCACTGCTGGGACTATACCCTAAGAAT